TTAGTTGTCTGCAATCTTCTATTTTATGGACATGGGTGCGATGATACTTGCATATTTGGTTCGGGTTTCTCTGGGTCGGATCGGTCTGCAGAGGTCGAGGCCACCTGGTATCTTTGATACGCCCAATGGCCGATACTATGGCGGAGGCATCTACGCTGAAGTTATATTCTGACAACCGAGGTGCTTCTTTGGACCCGGTATCCCTATCGAAACCATTCATGCTCATGAGCCCTCGGGAGCTCTGTCCCTGATCGTTCCTTCTATCATTCCGAACGGGGTTGCGCCCAGGCCCGTTATTTCTTCGGTCTCCAGCGTATGGCTGATATCGGTCTCTGTTCGACCGTGGTTCCCGATCAATGTCCCTTTTAACTCTATCCACGGGCCTGTTGGGCTAAATCGAACCGATTGGAGCCCCCAGTTGGTCGTCTTTGACCCTAATCTTTGACTGATATCGATTATGTATATCGGACCAAGTGACAGCTGGATATTCGATCAAATTCTGCTTTAATTGTTGCGAAGCTATGAAACCCCGTTCGTTGAGACCTTGAGTGAAGGCTTGTACAACCCAATTATCGGTGACCCGTGGTAAATCCATTCATTCCATTTGAAATCGAGAAACGAGTTCCCTGAGCATCTCACTATTTTTGCCTTACCTTGAATAAGTCCGTCTTTCTAGTTGCAACCTTAATGGCTCCAGCATGCGCCTTTACAAAGGAATCTGCATGCATAGCAAATGAATCAATAGAGTTAGGTGGTAAATTATGATACCATATCATAGCACCCTTTGATAAAGTTTCTCCGAATTTCTTTAGCGACACGGATTCAATTTCATCATCTTCCAAGTCATTTCCCTTAATGGCGCACGTATAAGAGGTGACATGTTCGTTTGGATATGTTGTTCCGTTATACTTCGGGATCTCGGGCATACGGAACTTCTTCGGGATTGGCTTCGGAGCCGCACTATGGGGGAAAGGTTTTTGGACAAACTTTTTCGAATCAAATCCTATTTATGACACAATTCTAATTACAGAAGTAAATCCCATGATGTGCTAAATAATCGTTCTGGACTTGATCCGTTCCGTGATTTTCGCCATGATCCTCGGCTAGTCACGTATATCTCGCATTTTCGTTATTATGTTATATTCGATCTTGCTCGATGTATGTCCTGTTTGGTCTCGATCATCATCGACCTCGGCCTCGACCTCGACCCCGACAGGTACTTCAAATTCCGGACTCGGCGTCTTATCTTCATATCTCGGTCTGATATACTACGGGGCCGATCCTCGAACTATCCCTCTGGTCCCGGCCAATTAGTGAAATCGGGCAGGCCCGATTTTAACCGTATATAACGCCATAATTTAAGATGATTTACTTTCTTCTCTTTATCAAAAGTTTTGCGTTTTTTCCCCTCCAGTTTTGGTTTATCCCCCTTTCTTTTATTGCAGTGCTGAATTATCTTCTTTTTGTCCTGTGGAGAAAGTTAATTCTCATCAATAATTTGAATAACGGGCCCAACAACTGTCCGTAACTCTAGTCCAAATTAGAGTTACGGTAATATTACTGGTACAGGCTAGGTCTTGTTATCCTATTATGGCGTATAAAACATACAGCCTGCTGCGTGAACACATCTTAATTGCACCTAATTTTATAATTAAAGCAGCTTTAGAGAAAAGTCCTTTTTTCGCAATAATTAGTGAATCATCAATCAGTTGCAGATGATGATTTTACAGCTCTAGGGGCCAATTAAAGTATAAGATTGAAATGATAGAAGATGCTTTTCTGAAAATTAGAACGCTGTTATCTTTAGATCACTGGAATGCAACTCAAGAACACCAAGCTAGGAATGTACAATTTAGGCACATATTGAATTTCTAGAAGCTAGCCTAAGGACTTTTTCACTGTACTCTAACATCAGCAGCCTTAAATCCAATAATTACGGAATAAATCAAATCATTACGGAAATTGTGTAGATTGCTAATATTGCTACTAAATAGCATAATACTAGTATCAAATTAAATAGCTATTTTTGCTAATATTGCTACTAAATAGCACAATACTAATTTTCAAGGGAAACTTCCTGGGGTATTATCACTTTCAGATCGCACCAGAAATTATTTATATTTGGTAGTCGAAAAAGTGTATAAAATTTATACAATTTTTGTACACAAAGTATATATATACAAAAAATATATAAATTTTATAAATTTTTCGGCTATTATTTTTACAGCGGCTATACAGTGTCATTTTTCCAAACTTTTCCTACTTTGGATGTGAATCTGTGATGTGCTCAGTATAGTACGAGGAAATCCTACTATATGTTGGCCCATCTCAACAAGAAGTTGGGGGAAATTAAAAAATAGCCAGATTTATAAGTGGTCATTCAAAAATAGCCACAGTTTCAAAAGTAATCGAAATTTAGCCACTTTGTATGTAAAGATCAATATGAACAAAAACACTGTTCAAAATCCGAAAAAATACTCCAGTATAATATACTGGAGTTCAAGCATAAGTATACTGGAACTCCAATATATTATACTGGAGTTCCAGTATAATATATAGGTCTAGCATAATATACTGGAACTTTCCGCGTGTTGGCGTTCCAGTATAATATGCTGGAAGTTCATACACAGGTGCACCGATCTCCAGTATATTATGCTAGAACTTTCCATGCTGCAGCAAAATAGTGGCTATTTTTCAATGACTTTGCAAACACTGGCTATTTTTGAAAACCCAGCCCGAAAACTGGCTAGCCCGTGCTATTTTTACCAAGAAGTTAGGCAAAAATTTGTGGGCTTGATATCTATATATTTATGGGCTAAAGCAAAGTTACCGAAAATGGGCCTATGTAGATCCAATAAGAAACGCGGAAACGTTGGAAAGGCCTTTGCATTTTACTGTTGCTATACTGCCTGTCTATACTTGATCTCCCTTTCACATGAGTCTCTGGTTTCCCTATTGATTTCATTTTAATCTTCTCTTTGGCCGACTTCTACTTCAATTACCTTTGCGAATCATGAACTATATCTTAATCCGGTTAAAGAAACAACTATGTGAATTCTCCAAAACATTCACATTTCATTCATAATAGCATGCTTAAATGAGCATGTTCCAACAAATTTTGTATCGTATAGTTAGGGCAGCTCGGTGCACAAGGCATCCCGTGTTCACGCAGAATCCGGGAAAGGGACGCACCCCAAGGGGTGTAATGTAGCATTTTACCCTAATGCAAGCATTAGTAGCGTTTTCACGGCTTGAACACGTGACCTATAAGTCAGAGACGGATCGAGGATTTAAAGTTTATGGGTTTAGATTCGCAATTCTACCACATTTCATCTAATTTAATGGGTTCAAAATTTATTATTTGTACATATTTAATAATTTTTTGAGCAAAAATACAGGGTATGAGCAAAAGCTATGGGTTCAGTCAAACGTAGGGGTGTGCATTCGAATCGGTTTATCGATAAATCGAATCGATTATTTGTTATCGGTTTATCGATATCGGTTTATCGATTTATCGATTTCGATTTCGAAATTTTCCTTATCGAGTTATCAATTTCGATTTCGATTTTGTCCTCTTCGGTTATCGGTTTATCGATAAACCGATAAGATATACTAAAAAGATAAATATACCCTCAATGGAAAACAGAATTAGAGAGGTTGCTCCGTTGTAAGCTAATTTCTCAACAATGGCAAAGCAGAAGGACACTTCCGCCATTGAAATTGACGATCACAACAGATCTCCGTCAATGGAAAATACATGAATATTTATATTCGTCAGGGTGGTTGAGCCTGGTAATGACAAGCTTTTGGGATCAAACCTAGTATGGGACACAGTGATGAAGGTCCAATTTACTTATTCAAGACTAAAAGCAAGCCAATGCAGATAGAAATCCTGTGCGGAAGATAAACAGTAATGACTATTGAGCACCAACAAGTAAGGAAACATCATTCGAAGGAGATAGCTTCGGTTGAATTATTACTACGACATAATCACTCCAGTGAAGAAGCAACGTTTGAAGCTGACGATGACATGAAATTGAGAAATCTTCACCTTTTCAATCTTACATGTAGGTTGAGTTTTAATTTGTGTTCACTTTTTAATGAGATGCAGAATTTTTTATTTTATATGTCTTGCTAAAAAAAAGAAAAATAGAATTAGCCGTGATAATGTATTTTGTTTTATTTTTTTATACCGTTGGAGTGTTGGTGACTTACATTTGATCCTTTACTTTAGTTTCGTTGCATGTGCTTGTTGACACAATTTTTATGTTATAAACGGTATTCGTCTTATTTTAGCTTCTTTTTGTCCATATTAGTTAGGCGTGTTTATAGTGATATACTTTCCGTGGAATCCCGCAAATTTTCTTATTGGTGTAATCGATAACCGAATCGATAAGCCCCAAAAATCGATAAATCAAAATCGAAAAAATCGAAATCTTATTGAAACGATAACGATAAGCATATATATGTACAAATCGATAATCGATAAGTAATTATCGATAAGGGTCAAAATCGAATCGATAAATCGAATGCACACCCCTAATCGAATGCATAGCTTCTACACTAGATACGCATCTGCTATAGGTCACAAGAAAATAACTTCATTGTTGCTTCAAAGACAAGCTTGGAAGAATTAATATAGTTAGAATACTTTTTTGTCGTTAATCCACCAAAATTTTGTTTTTCATTTAATTTAAGATTTAGTAAAGATAAATTTTTCTGAAATTCATATAATTGTTAATGGCTTAATCTAGATATCCCCAAAAAAAGTATGGCATATATAGCTACATAATTTGCAGTGTTTAAATAGAAAGTGGTTAGACAGTTTTTGGAATAGATGGTGCGCGCGGAAATGCGGGAAATTGCAACTGGTGGGAAAATGCGTTTCCTTTGGTGGGGAATACTTCATTCCCACTTTCACTTTATTAAATTAGAAAAAAGAGTTTGTCCCATTTTTTTTCCCTTCACTAAAGAGAAAAAGTGAAAGGCAACTGTGCAGCAAATGGAGAATACTATAGCTTAGCTGCTTATATTTTTGCCTGTGCATTTTCTCTGAAATCATGGAGATAATGCATTCTGGGCCCCACTAATCTCTTAAGCATACCACACTTTCCATACACAAACACATTCTTTATTTTGTTTTCTTCAAGTTAAACGCCATGCTATACAAAGTATTGGTCATAATATTTCTTTCTTTCTTCATCTTCTTTATGTGCTTTTCTTCTTTTTCTTTTTTAATTAGCTACTAGCTGCTGCGCTGGGATCAAGAAAAGCTCAAAAAGAAGAATTCCACCGACGACACAAGACCATCAAATTAAGGTCCCCATATATATTCCACCCTCACCTCTTTAATTCCCTCCCTTTTATTACTAGCTAGAACTAGACATTCCACCTAGAAAATATATATGGGGAATTGCTTGTTTGGAGGAGTTGGAGATGGAAATGAAGATATGGTGAAAGTGATAACATCCACAGGTGGCATTATGGAATTCTTAGCTCCGGTTACGGTAGAGTCAATCACTGAAGAATTCCAAGGACATGGCATTTTTAGAAGCCATGATTTGTTTTGGAAGCCACTACCAGCACAAGAAATACTAGTAGCAGGACAATCTTATTATCTTCTGCCGCTCAACAAAGAACAGTATAGTAGCAACAATATTATTACTGAGAATATTGATAATGTTATGGCTAAAATAGAAATAGGACATGTTAGGTCAAACAGCGTGCCACTTCCTCCTCATATCCAAAATCTAGTGGTTGCTCCCTATAGAATGTCATTTGATAGCCAAGGATTATTAAAAAGATCTTATACAGAAGCATTATATCGCTACAGAAACAGCCGCAGTCACAGTCAGAGCAAGAAGAGGAGTAGTGGTGGTGGTTTTTGGAAAGTGAAATTGGTGATAAGTCCTAAACAATTATTGGAGATTTTGTCACAAGAAACTGCCACTCAAGAGTTGATTGAGAGTGTGAGAACTGTCGCAAAATGTGGTAAAAACGGAACGTCTTCTTCCGCCAGCTCCGTCGGCTTTTCCGATCAATGGAGTCTCTCCAGTAGTAGAAATGCTTCCTCCTACAAAGATGCCTTATTTTCATTAGATTAGAGTGCTTTTTTATTTTATTTTTTGGTTTGCTTTTTTTACTGCATTCTGTTTGTGTCTCCTCAATATGCATATATATCTAGTCATATTTCATCACAGCATTCTTTGGTTACTGTCTATAAATTTAGGAGTCTGTTTGATTGGAAAGAAGTTATACTAGGATTTATTATCCCGGGATTAGTTATTTTATTTTTCCATGAGCATAAAAAAATACTACAATCTCTGAATTAATTATACCATAATTTTCTACCAACCAATATGGGATAAACTCTTCTTAAATTTAGTCGAAATTAATTGTTACTTATCCCTGATACCAAACGAGCCCTTAAGATTAAATAGAAAAATGTAGAGTAGACTGCAAATTTCGTGTATGCAAAAGTACTAAATTTATTATCTTTAGATTAATGTTCTGTTCTGACTTATGACTTTAAACCTGCTAGAAGATTCAAGGTACGAAAAGATAAACAACAGGGATCTTTTGGTCTTGTCATCTCTGTTTTTTGATTAACTAATACTTTAGTCAATCAATTTAGTGTTCATACCTTAGTATTTTTTTTAAAGGTCAGACAACGTCAGCTTAGAAATTTAGTCAATAAATCACTTAATATTGAGCAATTTGCACCCTTTGGTGGTATTTTTCTATTGTATTACAAGAAGGCTAAGTTACTCGTTCTGAACCATAAATGAATGTAAAATATGTGGCTCATGATAATGCATAGACCAAAATTGGAATTAAGCAATAATTTATATCCAACAAATGCGATTTATATACCTTGACGAGGAAAAGAAAACAACGAATGAATTTGAAAAAACAAAACAAAAATTTTCTGAACAAGTGAAGCTTGTCAACGTCCAGGTTTCATCATCTTCAGCAGTCCACACCGGCCACGCCCACCATGACACGTCACCTCTATTTTCAATCCACCTTTTAGTATTTCTGAAACAACACATCGCCTCATTCCATTACCGTTTAATTAATTTTTTGTGCAAATGATTTAATAACACCTCTATTTAACATCACTGTCGGATGGATGATCTTACGGTGATTGATGTCAACTTAAATTGGAAAATATGGTTTAGCTCAATTGGAAAATTTTGAAACAGCAAAAAATGTCGCATTACTAGGTCAGCGGTTTCTGAAACTATTTTACATTGGTGAGGGCACATGCGGTGGCAAAGTCAGAATCTACTCAAGTGTGTTCAAACTTGAAAGAAGTGAAAAAAAATCTTTGAGAAAGAATGTTCAATATATGTTATATACATCTAAAATCTAACATTTTACCTATATACGTAGTGTAATTTTTGGTGAAGAGTGGTCAGTTGACCACCCTTTATAACATGTAGCTTCGCCCAGGGGTACATGTTAGAAAGAGAGAGAACGGTAAAGTTGTTGTGTGATTTATAGGTCATAAGTTCGAGTAGTAATCACTAATATTTACATTGGGTTACGGCCCTTTCCCAAATCCTACATAAACATGGATACGACTTACGAGTACATGTTAGGATAAACTTTCAAATGCCTTTTTACTAACTTCCACCACAAATTGTCCGAACGCCATATTGCTTGTTTCAAGCAACATAGAAACTTTATTGTCAACCTTAATTTAATAGTCAAATATATTATCATAACACACTTCATGCCCTCTTCGCTTCATTAAATTATTGTTACAAATAATCTATCTTAGTATCAAAGAGTGACCTTAAAAAATTTAAATGCTTTTCACGGAACACATATTACATCACTCTAAACATATCTAAGAACAAAGTGCTACTTGTGTTATTGTAACTGATGCGATCAAGGTGCATAATTTGTTTGTTTAAAATGACTACGACTTAAACATTTTTCAATAGTTTATACAAGTAACTTGTTGTTAAGAAATGAGAGCAAAATTGAACAATATAATAATAGAGATAAGATGTATAGGAGGAGAATATAGAAGTTATCTTATTCAAATGTGTTTCATGTGTATTCTTCCATGGGCAAAGAATGCCCTATTTTTACTATACAAGATACACCCAAAACTCACTAGATACATCCTAGGAATTAATAGGTGCTTATATCCAAGTAGTACATTGTATAGAATGTATGGATGGATTAAATGAACATCCATATACATTCACTTTATTTACACTCCCCCTTGGATGTTCATTTGAATGTGCGTCATTAAAACCTTACTAAAAAAACCCAGTGAAGGAAAAAGAGTACACACATCTTGTAATACGCATTGAGTGCTACCTCATTAAAAACCTTACCAGGAAAACCCACTTGGGACAAAACCTTGGTTAAGGGAAAAAGAGTACAATGCGTATTGTACTCCCCCTGATGAAAACTTTATTTGATATCTCGGAGACGATGCATTCCAATCTTACTCAGCTTCTCAAATATTTATGTTGGCAATGCCTTAGTGAATAAATCTGCTAGATTGTCACTTGAACAGATTTGTTGAACATCTATCTCACCATTTTGCTGAAGATCGTGTGTGTAACGACTCGACCGGTCGTTTCGATCTTTTACACTTTGATCGTCAGTTCTCGGGCATGACTTGCCTCGTGTTATGTATTGTGACTAATGTAGATCGTTGGTTTTTGGTTTTCAGGAAAATTTAGAATGAATTTGAAAGAACAGTTTCAGTTGAAAGCTTTGAATTTGAAAGGTTTGACCAAGAGTTGACTTATTTGTATATGAGCTCGGATCGGAGTTTTTACGATTTGGTTAGCTTCTTTAGGTGATTTGTGACTTAGGAGCGTGATCGGAATTGGTTTTGGAGGTCCGGAGTAGAATTAGGCTTGAATTGGCAAAGTTAGTATTTTGGCGAATTCCGGTTGATAGGTGAGATTTTGGTCCGAGGGTCGGAATGGAATTCCCAGAGTTGCTGTAGCTTCGTTAGGTGATTTGGGATGTGTGTGCAAAATTTCAGATCATTTGGAGGTGATTTGGTTAGGTTTTTGATCGAATGCGTATTTCGGAAGTTTTTAAAGAACTTAGGCTTGAATTCGATGAGAAATGGTGGTTTTTGTGTTATTTGAGGTATTTTGATGATTGGAGCAGGTTCGAATGATGTTTTAGGATGCGTTGCTGCTTTTGGTTGAGGTCTCGGGGGCCTCGGGGTGATTTCGGATGGCCAATCGGACCAATTTGAGCAATTGAAAGTTGCAGGTTTTTCCCACCTATTTTGTTGCAGAGTTTTGTTCACTGCAATCGCGTTCCAGTGGTTGAGATCGCAGAGGTCTATCATGTAATGCATCGCGATCGCATTGGTGCCTATGCGATCGCATAGGAGGAATTGAAGGTCAGCTATTTTGTTCTACGCCATCGCGGCTAGGGGTCCGCGTTCGCATAGATTAAGGGAACTGTGCATCGCGATCGCAAGGGTTTTTACACGATCGCATAGAGTTAATCTGGAGGAGGAAATTTTTTTGCATCGCAATCGCAAGCCTTGGGATGCGATCGCGTATAAGAAAAACTGGGCTGACAGAAGGGTTTTATTACATATTTCATCTGCGAACCAAGTCTTATTTCCACCATTTATGAGCAACCTTGAGAGCTTTTGGACGAGAATTGAAGAGGATTTCGACTGGGGTTAATTGGAGGTAAGCCCTATGAACTAAAAACACGATTTTATTGTGGAATTGACCTTGAAATCCATGGAAACTTAACAAAAAGGGGAAGAACTAGGGCTTGAGTTTTAATATTTCAAATCGGGATTTGAGGGGTCATTTGGACTCCGATTTTGGTAATCTTTATATGTAAAGACTTGTGGCGAGATAAGGAGTCCGTTGATGTTAAATTTTTTGATTTTCGAGAAGTGGGCCCGAGGCTCGGGTTTTGCTAATTTCGAGGTTTTCGCTATTTTTCGATTGTCTTCGATTAGGTATTGTTCCATTGGCAAATTGTGACGTATTCGTTGTGGTTTTGGTCAGATTCGACGCACGAGGAGGTCGATATGAGAGGCAAAGGCGTCGCAAGCTAGAGATTTCGCCGGTTCAAGGTGAGTAATGATTGTAAATGATATTTTGAGGGTTTGAAACCCCGTATTGCACATCGTAGCGCTATATTAAGGTGACTTGCACACCGGATAGCGAGCGTGGGGTAGAGAACCGTTGGGGATTGTGACTTAGTCCGTCCCGGTAGATGAATATACTGCGTATTTGACTGAAATTCACTTATTATCATTTTAATTGAGTAGAATGCTATATTTGGGTTTCGTGCCAATTGATTGAATCCTTCAGGGATTGTTATTACTGGTTTCTTACCATTTGTGCATATCATTGAACTCAGTCCTAGTATTTAATACTGTTTTGCAAACTCAGCCACCTTTACTTAAACTTGAAACCTAATTAATATTTTAATTGAAGTTTGGGCTGAATATTTCTATATGATTGTACCCGAGGGGCTTATGTGATTTTTGGACTGAGTATAGGATCGGGCTGCACGCCGCAGCGGTATGATATTGATATTGATATGAGGCCGAGGGCCTAGTTGATGCCACGAGATGGCTTATTATTGCGTTTGGACCGTAAGGGGCCCTCCCGAAGTCTGCACAACCCCAGTGAGAGCCGTCGATGATAAAAGGATCGGGTTGCACGGTGCAGCGGTATGTGGAGCGGGCTGCACGCCGCAGCGGTACTAGTACTGTTCTGTGTGTTTACTTTATTTTATTTGCTTGCCTTACCTGTTGTTGTGCTACTTCATCAGATATCTACCGGATTGCCTGACATTATCTATTAATTGAGTGTGGTGCCCGAGGGCGGACTTCTGTGCTTATCTGCACTATTTGAATTGTATTCGTTTGCATACTGTTGAAAAAGTCATTTCCAAAAGAGGTTGTAAACTGAGCTAAGATATTTCTAAAGATTTCACAGCTTCACTGGTTTTTTCTCAAAAGGTTTTACACTACTTCTAGATAGCATGATGATGTGACATACGTGATTTCTTACGGTTCAGTTATTATTTACCTTTATTATTCACTAAGTTGGAGTACTCACTTTACTCCCTGCACTCCGTGTGCAGATGCAGGTATTTATTCACCCGGTAGTGGGTTTGGCTGATCAGAATCAGAGATATAGGAGTTTAACGTGGTGACTGCCAGCGTTCGCA